AAATTCCCATCCCAAGCACGAGGCCACGTTTTCGGCCGCAGGAGCTCGACGAGCACCCGGGCCCCGCCGCGGGTCAGCGTTTTCCAGCTGCTGGGAGCAGCGCATGGGAACCGGCTCCTTCCCACGCATCCTGCCACCCCCCGAGTGACGCTGGGGGCCATAGGGACCCCTCAGGCATCGCAGCCCCAAGGCTCTGCTCTGCAGAGGGCAGGGGTCACTGGCTCTGGTGCCCATGGGTGCCCCCACTGCACCCTCCAGCCCCGTTATCCAGCGCTGGAGAGCCCAGGGCTGGGATCGGAGCCACCCAAGGGTGACAGATGTGCTCATGCTGGGACAAAGCCCCTCGGCGCCATGGGACGGAGCAGCCCAGCGCTGGCTCCAGGTCCAGGATTGTGTCCCCTGAGTGCTGGGACGTGCTGTCCTCATGGCCCATGGCTCCCATCCTGCTGCAGCCCCAGCACGGACAATTCAGAGCTTGCACAGCTCCAGGAGACGCCTGGCCTGGTCCCAGTTTGGTGCTGGGCTGTAGTGGGAGGTGAAAAGCAGCCCCGGCAAGGCCATGGGGGTTGCAGGGGTGTAAGGCTGCTTCGCCAGGGGGGGTGATGGGGAAGCTCTGGCACTGCCCAGCAGGAAGGGATGAGCCCAGAGATAGGGCTGGACCCCACACACCACCCGCTGGGCGGATGGGATGGGATGGGATGGGATGGCGCCCCCGGCGTGGGCTATGCCATTGTCCCTCAGCAGCGGCGGGGAACCCTTCCCCTGCCCGTTTTCCAAGCTCCGCTGGTGAGCGGTGACCCCGAATTGTCCCCTGCCAGAACCAGCTTCTGCTGATACCCAGCTCACCGCATGTCCTGGTGTTACTGGGATAAACACCCAGCGGGATGGCTGGACACTTGTGCCTGTGTCAGCCCAGCACCTCCCAGTTTCCAGCAGCGTCCAGGTTTTGGAGGGGAAGGGGGGATTGTTGGCTTTACCTTCTGCTCCCGGTTGCTGCATGTCCCCAGGGGCTGTCCCCAGGGGCTGTCTCATGCTCCCCCGAGCACAGGGACACTGGGACAGGCCTCCAGAGGTGTCTGGGGTGGACCAGGCCGTGGTGGCTGAATTCAGCAGGGTTGGCACCAGGGCGATCCAGGGCAAGACTCAACCTGGGGGTGCAGCCGCTCCAGCAGAGCCAGGCCAGGGCTGCCCTCACTGCCCGTGCTGGGGAGCGGAGCCGGGGCAGGGTCTGGAGTCAAAGCCAGGAGCACTAAAATTATTCAGCTGAGAACACAGTGGGAGCTGGAGACTGAGCGAGAAGGGAAGAAAACCTCAGTGTGGGACAGGACGGCCCTGTGCTGGTCAGTTCACTGCTGCGGGCAGCACCAGGATGGGTGGGACAGCACTGAGGGCAGGGGGATTCGGGGCAGCCTTCTCTAAGTGCAACCAGACTGAGCCTCACCTGGGAGTTTGTATTAAACGTTTACCGGGGTTCAAAAAAAGGTTTACAGAAAAGGTAAAAGCCACACCAGCCTCGTCTCCTGGGGACGCCGGCAGAAGTGCTCCCTCCCAGCATTGCCAGTGCCCCAGCTGCCCACAGACACCCCCGGCAGCCAGGGGAGGTTGTGGAAAGCTCAAATGCTCCACACGCACATTTACGCTCGGTCCTCAGTGATCCTGACATGGGATTCACGCTGCTCTGCTGTGATGGAGCCTCTCCAAAGGGAAAATCTCGCTGGAGGCCACAGCGACTGAAGACCAATAACACAAAAAGCATCAGTGCATGGAGCAGGCCCTGAGCACCCAGTCCACGAATGCCTCGGGAGAATCTACAGCCAGGAAAGGGCAACCCTGAATGCCCTCAGCATCCAGGAGCCAGGGCTGGGCGAGCAGGGATGGGGAAGGACAAACGGATGCTGGCCAGGACTCGGGTCAGCCCTCACGCCGCAGGAGCACGTTCACATGGGGTAGTTGAGAACGACGTCTTGTTTGGCCAGTTCCAGCAACATGGGGTCATCGAAGAACTTGCTGATGCTCACGTCCTCGCTCAAGCCCTGCAGGGTAACGGCAAAGCCAGAGGTTACTGTTTGGTCGTACAGCCACCACGGCAGAGATCCCATCAGAAAGCCCTGGTGTCCCATAATGAGATGCATTTTTGGGCTCCAGAGAAGGCAGGAGAATATGCAATGCATGAAGTGCTTCTCAACAGCTTGAAGACATCCAACAGCCTCTCAGGAAGCTGCAAATGTGTGGGTGCTGCTGCTGAGCACATCCACCAGGTCACCGCCCTCCCAAAGGGGAGCTTGATTCCCTCTGTGGTCCCGGGAGCCCCTCCAACCCCCCAGTCCAGCTCACGAAACCAGCACAGAAATCAGTTCCTGCTTTTTCTGCAGGCCAAACGGACTAAACCAGGCCACCATGGGGTCAGACGGGCGGGAGACGAAGCAGGGCTCAGCGGATGCTGCAGGACCCCGCTTTGGCCTGGAGGCACTGCCAGATGAGTCACTTGTGGGACCATCACAGGCAGCACTGGGGATCAAGAGTGAGGGAAGTCCCGAGGCACAAAGGACATCAGTCCCCTCTGGGAACGCAGAGGGGACACAGCATGCCCAAGGGACAACACGGCAACAGCTCAGCCGCTGGTACAGAAGGACAGAGGGACGCTGCAGGGATTACTCCCAGCCGTACCTTCCTACGCCTGGTCTTGATCATGAACTCTCTGGCCAGATGCGGGGCTGGCTGGGGCTCCAGCGGTCGGATGACGATGCTCTTATCCAAGGGGTCACCAGGCACAATCTGAAACACAGGGTCAGCAATGCTGGGGGTTGGCTCAGCCTCCTGGAGACCCTGAACTGCAACGGGAAACCCCCCTGGGCCCTGCGGACGCCCCCAGCACCCATCTGTTCTCCTGGCACAGGAAAACTGTCACATCGCTGCTGGCGATCGCACCTGCGAGAAGTCACTGACAGCGCTGCGAACCCAAGCCAAGAGCATGTCCCAGCTTCCCCACGTGCTGCTGTACCCCAAGACCTCAAAAAACCTGCCAGCCAGAACAACCCACGTGGGTCCCAGTCAGCGCAACCCTCTCTACACATCAGGCACATTTCTTCTGCTCACAGCCAAGCCTTGGGCTTTCACATTTTGTCGGTGCTCCCTCGGTAGGGCAAAAGGTGATGTGACTCAGACCACCACCGTTGGTTTCTGGCAGACACTCAACAGCCAGCGTTCAAAGCCTCCCCAGCTCGAGACCCTTTGAGGACATTCGCCAGAGACGTTGTCCTGCCCTGCGTGAGCCGTGGCACTGAGCTCCACCAACATCCCTCTTCCCTGGCTCGCCAGGGCACGGACTCACCTGCCAGTGGTGGAAGACAGAGAGCGAGAAGGCTTGTCCCTGCGTGTGGGTCCTCAAGTCTGTCTCGAACCCGAATGAATCAATGGCCGGGATGAAGGCTTTGATGGTGTAGAGAGGAGAGCCCGGGATCGGGGCATCCTGTGTCACATGGCCTCTGCCAACACGTCAAGAGATTAGTCTGTATGTCACAGAGTCACAGCCTGGTTTGGGTTAAAGGGACCTCACAGCCCCCCAGTCCAATCCCCATGGGGTCACAGCTCCCCCAGCCCAGGCTGCTCACAGCCCCGTCCAACCTGGCCTGGGGCACTGCCAGGGAGGGGGCACCCACAGCTTCTCTGGGCACCCTGGGACAGGGCCTCAGCACCTCACAGGGGGATTATTTCTTCCCAATATCCGGTCTAAATCTCCCCTCTGTCAGTTCAACAGTGTTACTCCTCATCCTACTGCTACAATCCCTGATCAAAAGTCCCTCCCATCTTTCCTGTAGCCCATTTGGGTATTGGAAGGTGCTCTAAGGTCTCCCCAGAGCCTTCCCTCCAGGCTGGACAACCCCAATTCTCTCAGCCTCATAGCAGAGCTGCTCCAGCCCCTGATCACCTTTGTGGCCTCCTCCGCACCCACTCACGCAGGTCCATGTGTTTCTTATGCTGGAGCCCCAGAGCTGCACACAGTGCTCCCAGTGAGCTCCCATGTCCATTTATATTCTCCTCTCTGACACTCAGGAAGGACCAGGCACAAACCAAAGGCTTCATCTGACCCTGGACGTCCGCTCCCCACACAGCACAGGGGCTGGGGTCAGTCACAGAAGCTTTCAGCCATAATTTCCTACAGCTTTCCCCCTCTCCCCTTGCTTTACAAGCAGCACCAGACCATGAACGTCTCCAGCGCCCAGATCCCAAGCGAGCAGTCGCTGCTTTGCACTGCTGGGCGATGGCAGCTGGGCAGAGCAGCTCACCTGCGCCTGGCCAGGACCGTGTACACCGCAGACACGCAGTCGGCAGGAGCCTGCACCTCCACGAAGTAGTACGGCTCCATCAGGCGAGGGGTGGCCTGTGGGGAGAAAGGGACACGAGCCACTGAGCCCCCACAGCACCAACACGAGGCCTGGCGTGCTCTGACCAAACGCAGCCTGACTGGGGATGAAAGGGTCCCCGCTGCCCCATGGCTGCCCAAACAAATGTCAGACCCTGAAAAGAGCTTTTCTCCTCCTGGCCATGAGTCACACACTTCCCTCTCCCCCACGCTCACCCTGCCCAGCGAGCCCAGCGCCAGCAAGAAAGGGAGACAGAGCAGATGCACACAAGTTCCCAGCCAGACTGGAACGTGACCGCTTGTAAAACCCGTCTGCCAGCCCACAAGGGCGCTGGGAACAGGAACGGATGAACGAGTCGGTTTAAACCGATGTCCTTGGGGCTGACAGCGCAGCACACGTGCAGCCTGCGCTCCTTGGAGCCCCCAGGAGCCGGCACAGCGCGAGGTTCAGTCTTTGCTGTGCACGGTGTGGTCCTCACCATCAGGAAAGCAGAATAGACCACTCTGCGGGCCGTCGGGATGATCTGTCCTCCACCCCGGTGCAAGGGCTCCTGAGCAATCACCGCATCCAGGATCTTAAACTTCACGTTGCGGATCACTGAGGAAAGGCAGAAATGACAGCAAGTGACTCGAGGGGGACGTCCTCTGCCACGCCAGCACCAGAGACCCTGGGCACACAGCAAACACCCGAAGGCCTAGAGCCACCAGAAGTTCTCCTAAATTTAATTCCAGCAGGGAACGCATGACCACGTCCTAACCCCGCATATCGAACACAAAACTCCACAGCTTGTCATGCAGGGTGCCTGGTGGTCTGCACCACGACGTGAGCAGAGCCAAGGTCTACGGGAGCCGGCGTGCCAGCTAACAGCCCCTGGCTTGTAGGGAGGCAGCTGCAGCCAGGAAAAAGGCAGAGGACCCGTTTTCTCCCTTGTCACCCATCCCCAGACCTGTCCCCAGCTGTGGTGTGAGAAGGGAACCGGCCACCGAGGGACTGCACCAGCAAAACCACCTGAATGCTTAGAGATGGAAGAATTCGATCGATCATCTTAGCTCCACTTCTCCACAGTCCTACTTACGCTCATCACAGAGAGGTCCTTCCCTGGTCCCCCACTGAAATCCCTGCACAATGCTGTCCTTCACAGAGCCCAGCAGAGACTTGTCCACCTACAGACAGACAGACAGACACACAGACGGCTTCAGAGACTAAATCTGCATCACAAGGCAGTAACAGTCAGAGCCTGGCATTTAAAAGTCAGCCCCTATAAGGGCAGCAATGTCCCACGATACCCCCACATCCATCCCTCCCTCTCACAGCTCAGGAGCATCATCTCCAGAGTTTGTCACCTAGAGCTGTAAATTAAGAGTCCATATTCTGGTGAACCTGAAAGGCAAGCCAATTCATTGCCAGTCTTGAGGATGTTGGCCCAAATAGCAAGGCCTGAAAAATAACAGACTATTTACTGTCCGGCATAGGAGTATGGTGGAGGATGTACAGCAGATCTGAGATCTGGCAAACCAATGAGCTCTCCAACAGCATCAGGCTCTTGCTGCAGGTTCTGGAAGGGGTGGTCACCTCTTGGCACCACAGGACAAAGGTCTCACCGAAATGTAACCTCCCCAGCTGCATTTCTCACCTCAGAGGGCAGTGTATCATCCACCAGGATGTTTGGGCCAGTGGCATCTGGCCCAAAGGCCCAGATGGAGCGGGCAGCCAGCAAATCCCAGTCATATTTGGTCTGGAAGAATTCACCCAGCTTCTTTCTGATAGAAGAAGAGGAGAAGAAACTTTAGGAAACAAGTATCCCACCTGCACACACAACATATTTACAGCCCTGTTTCCTTCAGCCATCAAATGGCTTCAGCTTTTTCCCTGGAGCAACTCGTTTGCTGGGCAGAGATGCCCATGGACCAACTGGCAGCCATGCTGGACCCAGGACCCCTGCCCAGAGGCTGCTGACCGACAGCACACACCTTGCAGATCCCAACATCCTCTTTTTCCCCAGTTATTTGATTCTAGATGGATTCCTGCTCTCCTCAGCTCGGTCATACCTGTTCCACGTTATCTGCACCACTTCATTTTCAATGTCCTCCGCAAGTCCCTTCTCCAGAGGCTCAGCAATCATCGTGATCTTGTTCCTGAGAAGAGAGACAGTTGCAATTAGTCCAAGGAATGATGGTAAGGGAATAACTGGCAGGACCTCAGGGACTGCACTCTGCCTCAAACACAGCTAGGGAGGCGAAGCCATCAGTGTCCTTCACTGTTACTGTCTTGCTTGTAAAGGCAGCCCAGGCACTCAACAACTGCTCTCCCAAGTTTGTTCAAGCCCAGGAGCAGATTGCTAAGGGACAGCGTGGCTCCATCCCTCCTGGACAACAGGAGCCCACGGGCCAGGCACCGCCGCTGTGGGAGCCAGCACTCGCTGTGTCCAGCACATGGGACGTTGCCTTGGAGAACTCCACCAACGTGAGGAACCTGCCCCCTGTGCAGGTCACCCCACACGTCCAACAGTTCAAGGACTGAGCCAAGACTGGAAGCTTTCTGTTCCCAAAAATAAGACTGCCAACCATGGGGACAGCATATCAGAATAAAGGAAGGCAAGAACCAGAAGCCACGGGGAAACCCAGGAAAGCCATCTTCAGCATATGACAGCTCATTATTTCCCTGCAAATTCAGGCATTAACATGTCCTGTGCTCTTAGATTTCATCCTGGTTATCCAGCCTGTGTCCCTTCCGTGGCTTCCCTCTTTCAAACGTGTGCATCTCCTAACACACTGCTGGGGGAGGAAGATGAGGACAGGCTGTAAAGTTCCAGTGCATCACCAGGAAGGCAAAAATCCACTTCAAGATTAAGAATGGACAAGAGAAGACAAAGCTTCTGCTCACAAAACATTTGGGGAGTTACTGAAGGCAGCATTGGGCTCCTTGGCACCTGCTCTAGGATCCCAATACATCTCCTAGTCTTGGAAACACCACAGAACTGCTGAGAAGGTGTGAAATTTAGCTAAAAGAAAGGAGGATGTGGATCTGTCTCTATTGCCTCCATTCTGAGAGTTCCTACAAAGCACAGACACAGCCCTGGGACTCCAGTGTGTGCTGAGGAGAGCAGAGCTGCTGCAGCACCAGGCTGCCAACTCCAGCTCACGCTGTTTGTTCAACAGGCACCAGGAACAGAGCCCTGGAGGGGTGAAGTCTGCAGGGAACCCTCCAGCTGCCTGTCTCCAACTCCCAGCTCGCCCACGGGCTCTTACTTCTTGTTGGGGGTCTCAGCAAAGCACTTGAGGGAGGACGTTTCCACCACTGTCTCGCAGAATGTCACAACGGGATCGGCGACCTGGAATAACGACGAGTTCGTAAGGTTTTCGAGAACGTCTTTGCTTTTAAAAGAGACTGTCTGAAACCCTTCAACACCTACAAGAAAACACTGGTTTATCTGCTTGTGCTTCAATCAGCACTGCATATGAACCACAGAGGCCTGCACAGGCAGCTTTACCAACTCGTTCATCCAAACATGAGAGGAACTTTTAAACCTAATTCCAGGTACAAAAAATTACACTCTATTCATTTGATGCTCACCAGGTGGTGGCTGAAATACAGCAAGAGCATAGAACACGGTCACACACCCCTCTCCAAGCCCGTTTTCAGGCTCTCAACCACGCTGGTGTGACACAGTCAGGCTGTAAGAGTGACTTTTGCATCCCAACAGCCCTTCTGTTCCTTGTAAAAGGATCTGACAAAGTCCACACGCTGTGTTCAGCTAGGTTTGCTCTCCCATTCTTCTGAGACAGGGGGACAAAACCCCTCCCCAGCGGAGAAAAGCCCTCTCTCAGCTCCTCACCTTGATATCGATCTCCGAATACATCTTCCGCAGGTCGTGCATCACACAATCCAGGTAGAGCTCCCCCGTCCCCAGGATCACGTGCTCCCCAGACTCCTCCACCTGAAAAATAAGACAGGAAGTCAGAAAAAACCTGACAGTGTTTCTGCTCGCAGGGCCTTGCCTTCCAGGGTCACACACAAACCTGAGGAAGTACCAGCTTTAAATAAACTGGCCAGGATCAGAGCACCCCCAGGAAAGCTCCCCCAGCCTTTTCTAGCAGGAAGTGCTGGTGTGCTCTGCAGAAAGCTGCTTTCCAGGCACAGCAAGGTGTGTGTTTTTCTGCTGGATTTACAGTTTTATGCTGTTTCCACATGATTTATGAGATCAACTGCAAGAGCATGAAAAAACCCACAACAAAGAAAACAACCCACACTAAAAAACTGTTTACTTTTAAGACCAGGCTATGAGGTAGCTCACAGCATGAGCTGCAAACAGCCACACATACACCAGAGGTACCTTAGTCGTAAGCGAGGGGTAACTCTTGTTGACTTTGCGGAGACCATCTAACATTTTGGGGAGCTCTGAGGGGTTGACTGGCTCCACAGCTATCTTGATAACAGATGTGGTGTTGAACTTCAAAGGACGGAAGATCTGAGCCTGAAACCAGACAGGGACAAAGAGCTGAATCTCTGCATCATCAGGTGGCCGCTGGGGTTGGTCACAGCATTTGAAGCTCTCCTGTTCCCCTCAGTGGCTCTTGTGCCCTGGCCCCTCAGCAGAAAAGGTTTCTTTAACCACTGGAGCTTTTGGGATGTGCTCCATCACCTCGACTCTCTGCAAGGCCGAGTGACACCCGCTGTGCACAGTACCTCCTCATTGCCACGAGGCTCCGTGACAGTCGCAGTCTTCACGATGGGCTGGTCCACTCCTTCTATCAGCACCCAGTTGCCAGCAGGAACTCGGTTCACCTCAATGTGGTACCTAAGAGGCAGGGGAGCATCACTGCAGCGCTCGCTGCTGCCAGCTCAGGCCCCTTGCAGCGCTGTCCTCCCCCCTGTCCCAGCAGCAACCCCTCCAGGTGACTCCTCTCCCAAATGAACACAGCGCTGGGTGTTCCATACCTCGCAACTGAGATCCAGAGGCGTCCAACGGTGCAGATCTGGGAATCCTCCTCATCTTCCAGGGTATAGTTTTCTCCAAGGACCTTCACAGGCTGCCCAGCATGGATGGTACCACTGAGCACTCTGCCAAAGGCGTGGAACTGAACGCCATCGTCCGTGCTGTACATTTTTGTGGTGTGACACATCAGTGGACCCTGTCCAGGAGAGAAACAGAGAGAAACAAGGCTCTTTCAGAACACAGTCAAGAAACAGACACAGACCTGGGAGGACTCATGGACACAAAGGGATCAATAGGCTGCAATTTAGAAATACTCCTTTTGACTTGCCAAGCCCCTCATTTCCTTCCACGGGAAGCCTTACATCTCCTTGCCCTCTATGGACACCCCTGGAACCACTTTGGTGGACTCAACCAGAGCTCTCCTCCCTCCTCTTGAGGAGCAGTCAAGAGGGTTGGGACAAGGACACGAGAAGAAATCTCCTCTGCTGGCCTGCAGAGCAGCTCAGGGCACAGCACCCGAGCCTCCACAGGTCACAGCTCCCAGAGCCACAGGGTCACTCCACAACTGCTGAGCTGGTGACAGTCACCACAGGACAGCTTTACGTGGGCAATCACAACTCATTAAAACGAGCGACTCGTTTTCTCTCCAGACATCAGAGCCAAAGTCACGGGCAGACTCCTCCCAGGCTGCTGCCTGGCGTTGGTGGCTGCAGACGACTCCGAATGACAGCTCAGTACGAGCTGCTGGAGGAGGAAGGTTCTCGCAAGGCTTTGGTACGAAAGGTGCTGACTAACTAATGCAGGGTTATTTTTATCAGTCTCCGAGTTTGGAGAGAGAATCAAACTTCACAGAGAAGGGACAAAAAGGCAGCAAAAGGACACAAAATCAGCCCGCACTTCCCACGGGCTCTGCAGTCCTGACCTAGCCCTGCTCCTCTCCGAACACTCAAACAATTCTCTCTCTCCAGGGCTGCCCTGGCAGGCAGCTGAAGTTTCTCAGAGTGAAGAGATTTGTTTCAGTATCGGATGAGAGGTTTCCAAACGCTGCAAGTCAAATCAGTGCAGATGGCTGGCTGGGAGGCAGCTGCCCTGACCAGGCACTGAAAGGAGGGCAGATCTGCCCCACTTCGGGGCGCTCCGAGCAAAGCAGAAGAGTTTCCTTACGTCAGGGTCGCATTCGCTCATGGCCTCCCCCAGGTCAGAGTCGACACCGCCGGTGTAGGTATGCTCGATCTTCGTCTTGGCTCCCACCTTCGGCGAGGGGATGTGCTGCACACACATGTCCACAAAGCCTGGAAGAGCAACGCTTCGTGAGAAGGGATTCAGCAGTGCAGGGGAAAGAAACGGACGCCAATAAAAACAAGGCCAAGCCATCCTGACTGCAGGGCACCCACAGTGATGCAGAAGAGGAGAGCAGTGTCTCAGGCTGAGCTTTGGGCAAATGGTTTCATGTTTTGCATGTGGAAAGCTGTGCAAGTGAGCACTCCATGGCTGTAACACAGCCCCTGGCTCTGCTGCTGCGAGATGAAGCCACAGGACTGCAGAGGGGAAGACAACCGGCGCTTACCTGTGAACTCCCCAAAGAACTTCTTGCAGACGAGCCGCAGGAGGGGCCGGATGTTCAACTTCAATTCTTCTTTGGTCAGGTGGATGCCAAGTTCATCCAGAGTCCTGGGCAGGGTCGTGTCCACATCTCCCACCACCTGCAAGGCAGCAAGCACCACTCTCAGCTTTGCTGGGGGGTCAAGGCCAATAACTCCTGGGTGCAGCTTCACACACCAGGCATCACCCTCAGGGCTCATGCTCTGCTTTAGAGCTCACAGAACTGCTCAGCTGGTTCAGATCATCACTTGGCTGATGTCAGAGCACGCTGCAAAGAGCAAAGGCAGCTCTACACAAATACAGGGTCACATTTGCAAGGAGCAGCTGTGAAGGAGCTGCTCACCGTTGCTCTGCACCTCGAACCCCAGAAATCTGAGAAAATCCCACTGCACAACAGGAGAGGCGAGTCCCACAGGCACAGCCACACCACCACCCCCCAGTGCTCAGCCCTTGGCTACTCCTGTCTGATGTGATCCACGACAGACCTGAGCCAGGATCTTATACAGGGGCTCCAGAATGAACTCCACAAAACTGCGCTGGGAGCTGCTCGTTGGGGCCTTTTTAGTGAACTTGCGGCTGTTGGGGGACAAAAGCAGAGACGTGAGGACCAAGCACCCCTGCTGCAAACACAGCCTCTGCTCTCCCCAGGTTATCTTCTCCCTCCCAGTCCCCTGGAAGCAGCCGTGGGCACAGGAGTCACGTTGACCCCAAGCAAAGGCCAGAGGAGGCTCCCTGGATCCAACAGGACCACGGGGATCCACACCGAGCAGGAGGCTGACTCAGCCTTCCCACACACCACTCCACCACAGGACAACTCTGCTTGGATGGCTCCTTGGGAGCTCATCCGGCCCATGCGTTACAGAGAAATGAGGGAAAAACCCAGCAGTAAGCGAACAGACACCGAAACAGGCTTCTTACGTCTTGGGGTTGAAGTAGATGTCACCCCAAAGCCGCTTTGCAAACTCCTGGTAATTGATGTCTCCTGAAAGGAAAAACAAACAACAAAAGTCTCTCAGATGACGCCGTATTTCTCTCACTTGGAAATCCTCAAGTTTAGGCTTTTACCACAACCCTGAGGGTTTGATCTCATCGACCGACGCTGCTGAGTGACAGCCTGGCCTCAATTCTGAGGAAACGATGAACCCTCACCTGGGGAGGCCAGGCAGGGAGGTGGGCAGAAAACAGCCCCAGCACGACCGCAGCAGCCCAGGCACACACGGGTTCACACACTCAGAACACTTCAGCTCTCCCAATTACACACAAGGTCAGAGCTGGGAAGAGCCGGCCAGACGCCGCGCTGCAGGAACCCACTCGCATCTGCCTCATTCTCAAACGTTGACGCTGCAGTGCCAAGGTGCTGGGCTGGTTACACCCCATCCGCCCCGCAGGCTCAGCGCGAGCATTTTCTGCCTTGCTGAACATCTCCAGGTTCTCTTCTCTTTTCAGCTGATGCGCTACGTGCGCAGCCAAAGACCCAAGTGCTCAAGGAGCAGCGCAGCGCGTGGCTGTCACGGCAGATTTAAAATAATAAGACAGCGCTGATAATTTACAGCAGTTTCCAAACAAGCTTTTGCTGTGGGCAGATGTGCAAGCATAAGAAATCTCCTGGTGGCTGCGGCTCTGACAGCCAAACTGCTCTAACTCCTGTTAGCTGAAGGGTGGTGGCTGCACACGAAATCCCCGCAGGCCACAAGCCAACGGCACCGACTCCAAGCACCTGCTCAGCTCGCGCCTGCCCCACACGGACGACATCTCCTCCCGACTGCCTGCATCTTCATCAGAGCCACAGAGAAGGGGCATCACCCAGCAGGCACCGAGCCAGCGCGGTGCCGCCCAGGGAGCTCATTGATTTCTCCAAACTCGCCAGGACTCACACTGGTCCTGACGCATCAGCCCCTGACCTCTGCAGCTTCATCCTCCCTTAAGCCGACTTCTCTGCAAGAGCCGGCCCAGCTGCTGCACAACACCCTCCTCCCCCTGCTCTCGGCTCCCGCGATCACCCCGAGTTCCCCAGGGTGAGACTTCAAAAGCCTGGGCTGTACAGCCGGCTCACGCAAGCAAAAGGCCCACTTTTACAAGTGGCAGCTTGCCTTGAGCGGGCACCTGGGGAACAGAAAATTAAATCCAAGCCAGAAGACGCCAGTTTCTTAAAAAAGAAAGAGGCCAAGAGTGCAAAACCTTGCGGGCCAAACCTGCGCCCGGCTGCAGCCGAGTCTCAGACTCGGGAGACTTTGTGACAACGCAGGCAGGGCTGAACTGCTTCGCTTCTGAGCTCTCCTGGTAAGGAGGCAAAGCACAGCAATGCGCTCGCCTTCAGCTGCCATAGCAGCACTTGCTCTGTCTGCTCAAGGGGATGGATCAGATATTGGCTTCCGACTCAAGAAACACTGACCCGGAGAAACTATCGAGCCAAAGCCAAGTCAGAACTGGAACTTTGCTCCCCACCACCCAGGGCTCAGATCTGCAGCACCTCTCAGCTCCTAACAATTCAAGACCGCACACGCTGGCCAGATACGTGCAGTGAAAGTCAAAGCTCAA